ATTTTTAAGTTTCCCTTAGTTGACGACATTTTCGTCGTGTTCGAAACACACATTGTGAAGCTGGTGCCTATTCCGAAATTGATCGGCGAGGAAAAATATTCCAATTATCATTTAGCGGATACACGGTAGAATAAAGTTTTTAAGTTCGTTTATTCTAAGTTTAGAATCACCTTTAAAGTTTAAAGTTATCATTTAATACTGTTACAGCTACCTAATAATGTTTGTTTATTTTTGCTTAAGTGTGTCTTATTTATTTGAAATTATTGAGTTTGTAACTTTGTTCAGAATAAAGATATTTTAGATTCAAAAAAACCATTTTGATCCAAAAAATATGACTAAAACGCTCTTACCCCTAGCTTCACTCTATGTGTGTTAGGTAAAAAAATATATTCAAATTCGCACTTACCCCATGTTCCGGGGTAAGTGCATCCACTGGGCCTAATTTTTAAAAAATCCTAAATTTTAAAAATTAAGCTGTAAATAAACGTGTTTTAGGCTTTAACTCATAGTTATGGCTTGTATAAATAATATGTGAACATATTGCGATCACCAAAAAATATTCAGAAGTGTAGAGGAAGAATATATTTGAAATCGCTAAATTTTGTGTCGCACTTACTCCAACTGACCTTACCCTTAAAATGTGGCAACGTTACTATTGTAGGCCTTAATCTGAATCACAAGGCTGTTGACAAAAAAAGTCATAACAATCGTAGGTGATCCTGGTGGGGGATTCTCATCCTCTAGTCCCGACTATCCCATTGCTTTTCTACGAGTGAGTCGGGACGATAGGTTGCGACTAGAGGATGAGAAAATGAAAATTACCTCGTCAATTGTCAAAAGTCATAATATTGTATGTAGGCTTGTCAGTTGTCAAAAAAAATGAGTAATTATTCCAAGTGTTTGAACCGGGAACAACCGAAAATTTACTCTGATGATAGTTTGGCTCGACCAACTGATCATTTAAATTGTTTCCTACTTCATCTCGCTCTTTGTCTTACTCATTTATAATCGCTTTTGTTCTTTAACTAATTTATCCTACCTTATCTTCTTCTTTGTTTTACTCACTAAAATCTGGAAAAACATGTTTGAGATTGTAATTATGGCAACGTCGCTTTTGATCGAGTAGGTCTTGTAATGTAATGTTATTTAGCATTTTAGACAGTCGGTCATTTTCGAGTGTTTTTATCCAGTTTCTCCTAGAATTTTCCACTTTTCCAGGCCGGTTTCGATCGGGAAAACTGTTAATTATATGCGAGCCCGAAGGGCCGGAATTATACACGAGCCCGAAAAGCCGGAGTTATACGTGAGCCCGAAGGGCCAGAATTATACGAGAGCCCGAAGGACCGAAGTTATTTTAATCACGGGGCCCAGTTTATAATTCTATTGGTCAGCGAATAATTTGGAGCCAATCAAAGACTGGGAATATTCAAAATGCGATTTTTAGCGCCCAATCAAAGAGCCGGGAATATTCAAAAACTCCAGTTTTATCAAGTTGACTTTAGAATGTAGGTTTTCTATTGGGTTTTCTTAAGATTTTTACTTTTTTCAGAAAACGGTGGTTTTTGCAAACATATACTACTTTATCGTTGTCTTTGTCTTACTCACTATAATCAACAAGTAAACCTTGTAATGTCATTTTGATTGAAATTAAACTAAAAACAAGTTTCCGATGCTTTCTCTAGGGAATTTTAATTATTATAATCATTATTTATTAATTATTTAACGATTTTTAATTGAATTTTAAATAAAAAACTCATTTAAAATGTTATTTTTGTTTTCCGAGATGTAATGTGGCAATGTTTCTTTTAGTCGGCCATTTTGAAGTAACGTCTTGTGATTTTTTGCCAGTTTCTCCTTGAATTTTCGACTTTCCCGGTGATTTTTAATGGAAAAAAGCGATTTAACATGCGGGGCTTTGAGTTTTCTTCATTTTCTAGCAAAAATTTCCACTTTTAAATGCCATAATTAGCAAAATCCCATTTAAAATGCTTTTGATGTGGCAACACCGCTTGTGGCTAACTTCAATCAAGGAGGCCTTGTAATAAATATCATTTGTCATTTTTGATAGTCGGCCATATTCATTTGACGTGTTCACATTTTTATCCAGTTTTTCCTCGAATTTTCAACTTTTCCGGGCTGTTTTCGATCGGGAAAATCGATTTAAAATACGAGGCTTTGAGTTTCCTTCATTTTTTATCAAAGATTTCGAGTTTTTCAAAGGGGTAAGTAACAAAAATTTAGGTTTCATCAAGTAGGCTTTAGAATGTCATTTTTCAATGGTTTTTCTTTGGATTTTTCGCTTTTTCGGTCTAGAAAACCGATTTAAAGTACGAGGTTTTGAATTTTCTTTATTTTCTGTTGAAAACCTAAACTAAACACAAACTAGGTACGTCAACCAAAAACCACAAAACCAGTATTACATTGGTGACGTCATCTATTTACGAATCAAAAATTATTGTTATATCGAATTTAGACACAGAAATACAAGTTAATTAGAACATCGACATTAGACTAACTAGGCAGTAGGCTAAGATTCTTTGCGAATCTGGAAAAAAATTAAAAAATTGAAAATTGTACCAAATATGCCAAGGACATCATCACAGCAAAGGCAATCGGGCTGCCAACGCCCTAGCTAGGAGGGCCGCCAGGGCTACAGCCTTCTAGACCGGAGGGCCTTCGTGGGGCTACCATGTCGGCAGCCAAAGATATGATAAAAAAAAAACGCTCTCACACACTTTTCAAAAAACGCTGGGACGATACGATTGGCTGCAACTTATCCAAGGAACTGCTAAGCTATTCAGATAAAGCTGCAGCGAACCAAAAGCTGTCGTTGACCAGAAAAAGGCTACGCCCGATAACCGGCATCTTGACTGACCACTGTCAGTTAAACAAATATTTGCTTAGGTTGCATCTCAGTACCAGCTTGTAATCAAGAAGATGAGACGATAGAGCACATTCTCTGTGACTGCACTGCTCTTTCGCCAATACGCAGTGCCAGATTAGGCCAATCGTACCTATCACTAGAAGAGATCAGAGGCGCCGCCTTCGACGACGTCATCGCCTACGTTGAATCGCTAGGCTGGATGACGAGCTAAGGTTGACCTCTCCTCTTATGGAGGTACACAATGGGTCTAATGTGGCCTAGGTGCTGTGGCATACCACCCTTTCAAACTTACAGATACAGATATCTCTTCTAATCCCATTGCTTCTTCTTCTGATACATGTTGCATTTTGGAAAAGATATTTCCTATAGTATTGTCGCCATTCTCCACGGTTTTTCCTTATTCTTATGTCGATATATCTTTGATATTTTTCATAATTACTTCTGAGATGTTTGGCCTCAGTTTTCTGGCATGGCATAATTATTGTCTCAATCAAGGTAGGTAATCGTATAGCAGCATAAACGTTTATTGAATATTATATTATTATACAGAGAGATAGAAAATACGCCAGATCCAGAGGAACACGTGTAAAGCCAACAGGGGGGCCTCCATCGTGGCCTTATCGGTCGTTCGGCTGTCCGTCAACGGGAACGCGAAGACAATGGCGGTGCGCTGGAGTAATGGAGCGGAACCTTTACCGATAGCTGTGCCTGTGCCACAGCCAGAAACACACTTAGTCGCTGTCAACGCAACGACGACACCGGTCCAAGTCGGAACAAAACATTCTCCCCAGTCAACCCCATCATCATCGTCATCTCTATTTTAAGCCCCCCACGTTTTCGACGTTCTAACCAACTTGCATTCGCGACATTGATCTGAAAGGGTTTAGACATTAGACGAAATTAAACTATAACTAACTTTTAGGTATTATAAGAGAAAAATGTTTGCCTCTAGATATGGTGTATGATGAAAGAGGCATCTTCGACTGGGAAGAAAAAATATATATTGTTTTGGAAGAGTTTATTAGTTCTATATAGCGCAATGAGTATCGGCTTTAGTCAATGAGTGGAAGTTTTCAGTCACGTAGATTTTTGAGTCGAGAAACCATAACTTCACTAAACCTATAATATTTTTCTGACTCGACTGTTAAAAAGTGAAAAAATTCTTATCGAGAAATTAAGGCAATGCTTTTGCTCTGAAAGACACAAGTGACGGGGTTGTTCTATAGTTAAACCTCCTCTCATTCCTATTATCCTAATATGATACAAACTCTGGAAAAATGTACTTCATCGAATTTCTATTATCGTGAGACGAATTTGAAATTTTTATTATCGTGAAACGAATTCGAAGAATTTTCCAGAATTTTTTGTTACAGCGGCCTGATCACTTTAAACTATTCTAGATATTTATTTCTCGGGTGAAAAACACGCATATTTTGCATTTGATTATAGAAAAACTCAATTACATAAACAAACACACGTGCCTTGATTGTTTTCGCGTCGTATATTTAGTTCCGGGCCATTAAATCATCGAAATATATCAGTCAAGGCTCCAAAAAGATGATGTGTTGAGAAACTTCGAAGATGCGCTAATACTTTTATGTCGCTTTCTAATGTGCATAATGTATATTTGTTTATCGTTTATTGTCAATAGATTTTACAGAGTGAAACAATGTAGAAGAATTTAGTTTCCTTAAAAACAGTAGTTGCTCATTCAGGATTAGTTGGCTGGCTCTAATTTTATAGAGGAAAAACTGAAGTATACAAATCTGAACAAACACTATGAAAAATCATCCCAAACTATCTAGAAAAGCGCCGAGGAAATGATAAAGTTGTAGAAAATGGTGACAAAGAAAATACCTGATACCAAAAGTAACAAGTAGGTAGCAAACAATGACTTGTTGCACGTAATACTGATGAATATGAGTAATGAAATACAATTTTGGTGCATCAAAACATGTGATCTTATATGCTGTTTCCTAAATACAACAAATTAAATAAAGTTGAAGCCACCCAGTAAAATATTATTTAATTTCAAAAGGTGCAAACACCTTAAGGTCATATTATTTAGCACGAATCAATAGAAATAAACACAATTGCGCGTTTACGATGATGACTGCCAATATTTCCTTAGTAGGATGGGGTTGGTCAGTATATAAGCCTGACATAAAAAAATGTAAATTCAACAGTTTCTAAGTCAAGCTTAATCAATCAACTAAAACAATGTTTGGGGTTTTGGTAAGGACATTACACACTATAAATTATCGATAATAAAAATCAAATTTTTTAGTTCAGTGCAATGCTAGTTTTATCCCCAGCGGTATTAGGGCGACCACAGGAGCCTGCTCCGCAGGCCGCAGGAACATCCCCTCAACAGCACCAGGACGGATCAACCCCAATTCCAATTGTTAGCCAATCTGCGGAGACAAAAGAGGATGGGGGATTTAGCTACAGGTAGGGCGTAAAAGTTTATTAAAATGTGCTTGTTTTTCCTTGGACCGCTTGCGCAACGTAGATTAGTTTAAATGAGCTTTCGTGCGGATTAAGGACACGCACGCTTGACCGTTTAACAAAATTAAATTCCAGCTTCGAAACTGGCAACGGAATTAAAGTCGAGGAAAGTGGAACTTTGAAACAAGGGGCGCCGCAAGCCAGGAGTTTGGACGGCGGTAATGAAACTAGCAGCGATACTGTGGTCGTTTTGCAAGGTAGCTTCAGCTACACCGCTCCTGATGGACAAGTTATCAATCTCAAGTAAGAAACTCACTCACTTAAAGTCAATTTTATAACCAAATAACGTGTTTTAGGTATATTGCTGACGAAAATGGTTTCCAACCTGAAGGTGACCATATTCCCACTCCCCCACCAGGTTATCAGGATGCTTTGAAACAAGCAGCTCAGCAACAGTCCCAGGAGGCTCAACAACAGCCACAAGTGTCTCAGATAGCTCAACAACAACCACAAGTGCCTCAGGTGGCTCAACAACAACCAAAATTAGCTCAGGAAGCTCAACAACAGCCACAAGTGCCTCAAATAGCTCAACAACAGACTCAAGCACCTCAATGAAAAGTATCGGAATTTCGAAGCTACAAAAAATTCAGTATTAATTAAGTGCAACGTGTGTTAAAAAATTGTTTATATGTAATTAGCTTATAGGTTTTCTAAATGAGAATAAAATTATTTCAAAAATCGTTTTGTTGAATGTTGAGTCAACTTCCAGAGAGCAATTTATACAGTATTTGCAAGATTCCTGAGATTGAAAAACCGCCTGTATGTAGAACTGCAAGCCTTTCTGGGATTTTAAATCCAGAGATGTCTACAATCAACATCTACACATTCATAAATTCCGTTGTCACTTGTTCGCTTACAAACTCATGCTCCTACTGCTCATTGTTTATCAGTCTGATCTGTATCTTCTTCATTACCTGCTTATGTGATAGTATTTAACATAAAAATCTTGATTTTAGCACTTTAGGCTTTAAGATAAACTAGGACAATTACCACACATTCTGGAACAAGATCTAAATCAAACACTGCGTATCCAGGATTGACACTTAATAATTTCAAATGATGATCACTGATGAGACAGATCACCATCTTTTCTCCTATGTCAGCATCAAACAAAACAAAATTTTAGTCAAAATGAGCGGCAATAATGATAAAGTACTTACCGACGATATTATTGGCCAATAATTCCTAATATTTGTCAAAACGTTATTGGTGCCCCAAAATCAATCATCGCAGAATGCCCACACGCATTATTATGCATTTCCAAAGTGATCGACAAACCTTCGGGCTTCAGTCTGGTTATTAATGTGTTTGCACTTTGTATACCCGATTGTTAAACCCTCACTTGCATTATTTAAGGGCCCCCGTTCCAGAACCAATTTTGCCAGAATTAGGTTTCCAGCAAACCTAATATTTTATGAGCGAGCTTGTGTGTGTATGCGTATACCGTATACCTATTTTGAATTATCGATCAAAGCTAGCCTGTGAACTAATTATCGAGCACAATTTCACATTCTGTGCAAAGCAAATTCAATTTGTCCGACTATACAAAACAAAAATACTGTTCGGTTGGTTTGGCTCCCTTTAAAATCACACTCTGGGTTCCTACTAAAAGCAATTCAAATTTAATTTTAAGTAATGGTTATTTGTGTCCCCTCTCACCCTCTGCAAAAAAAAAAATTCCTTCTTTTATTTGTCCGTGCACTTAACCCTCGGATAGAATTTAAACTTACATTAAGATATTTTTAATAGCCAAATAAAAGGGGGGCGGCCCGAAAAATTTTATGGAACGAGATTAATCTGGGCCATTTTCGGAACAGTTAATGTTTATCTAAACGTCTGTTTCGGCTACTTTTGCGCCTTTCTCGTTTTATGTTCCCTCTTTTTTTTTTAATAAAAAGGTATATCTCTCGGCCCTTTGGAAAACGTGCCTCTAAGGTGAAATTAAAGTAAAACTCCTGTTTTAAAATTTGCCATTTTGAGCTCTAGATATCTACGTTGGTTTGGTTGGTTGGAGATTCAGAATCACAGACCTAATGTTTTTTGGCTGTTAAACTTATTTTTTACAGGTTACTAAGTTTTCTTTTTAACTTGTTTATCTCTATTTTATTCTATTACTCCGCATTTTCTTCCTTTTTCAACTCCTGCTATAATAGTTAAGAGATGATTTATATTTAAAAACCTTCTCTTGCAATAAGATTTGCAGTGCATTAGATTTCGATAAGGACATTTTTTGAGACTATCAAGGCTTTAAATGATAATTCTTTTGTTATTTTAGATTATCATTGGATATTTTTTCAGTACTCACAGTGCAGCATTCAAAGCCCTAGGCAAATACGAAAAAATTCAAATAACACAAAAACATTATTGGTGGGATGAAGAAATCGAGAAAGACATAGCAGACAAAGTAAAAAGTCAACAATGTTAAAACAAAATAGAGAAGTTAGAGAAGATGTTCATCAATGGAAGACTTTACAAGAAAATATCTGCAATAGGTAATATCAAACTTTCGACCCTTGTGACAAAAAAAGTTACCAAAATCCAAAACTTCAAAATCTCTCAAGAACAAATTGCTGCTGAATAGCAATAGATATATTATTCCAAAGTAAATAAGCCATTTTCCTTTTCCTCGTCGGTGTGCCCCCCATTTACTGTGATAAACAGGCACATTACTTCCAAAGTGTAGCGATTTAGTAAATTTCCATTCGCACCCCTGCATTTTACCATTTTAAAGGTCTCCCACTATTTTAAAATGATAGCTTGGGATTTTGTTCCAAAATGTGACTGAAAATTGACGCTAATAAAAATATAAAAAGGATCCGATGCCTTTTCCTTGACAGGGGAAATTTTCTCAGACGAAAATATTGATTCGGTTTAAATTTTAAGTGTTCGGGAAAATCATGGTTTATCTTCCAGATGTGTTTGTCTTTTATAGAATACATATTTTTATGTTGGCGTTTTAAAACCCCCAATTTTTGATTTCTACCCTTATGTTTTCGCTATTTGGCCGGCAGTGGTAGAATTCCCACGCTGGCTTTTAGGAAGAATATTTTTATTGCCACAGAATTCCTAAAATTTAATCTAATTTGGGAGGCTATGTAATACCATTCAATAATATGTTCACTTACAATTAGCGAAAAATACGTCCACTTTTCTGTCATACCCATTTTAAGATATAATCGCCAAACGATATAAATAAGGATTACGATTAAACATCTTCGTCTTGGCTGCCACCATTAGGAGTTCATTCTAATTTGATTATTAAATATTTCACCTCCGGATTTAATCCTTTTCAATACGACTGCGAGTCAAAACACCATTGTGGCACCTCACCCTTTCTAAAGGACAATCGTCGTGGCTATAGTCCAGCATTATCAGATTTCTGATACTGAATTTCGAATGTTTTCGTTAATTGAAGTAGGTAACTTCACTGTTCACTGACAGGAACTGGAAAAACTCACCACTGTGTATTCCAATCAGAAATCTATGCCATCGACTCCTGTCTGAGAGAAAACCTAAGAGGGGATACACAGGTTTTTTTTTTTTTGGTTATTGTACTAAATCTTCCTGTTTTAGGATTCCATTCCAAAACCCTGGTTCCCTGCAGTAAGCGAAGGAGTCTGGTGGATATTTGCCGTATGTATCTGGATCTAGTTCATCTTCTCCAAATATATTTTGTCTCCTGCGAGTTAGTGCATTGCATTCTGATATGTTTTGGGCTGTTTCAGTCTCTGTTCCGCATAGTCTGTCTCCGTTGTACAAGCTTATTGTTTGCAGGTGTTTCTTCACTGGGACATGCCCAGGAAGAAAGCCGGTTGCTACTCTGAGTTGATTCCTGCTTAGTTGTAGCAGTCTTTTTGCTGCATGTATCACGTATGAAGATTTTCCGATGTGCATGCTTAGGTATTTGCATCCAGTATTGAGCATGTTTTGCTTTGATCCATTCCTTCGACTGCTTTCTTACTGTGCTTTTGGGTACTCCGAGAGCTGGTTCGCGATCAAGGAGCAAGGTATTCTGTGGATGACCCCTTGCGTGCAAGTTTATTAGCCTTTCCGTTGCTCGGGATACCTCAATGTCCTAGCACCCACAACAATATGACATTATTTCGGTCCGCCTTCTCGGCATTCCAGTGCATCAGAGTTTGCCTTAGGGTTCTTCAATGCCCCCAGGGCTGTCTGACTGTCTGTGAGTAAAGTGGGTCTCCTCTCTTTGCAGGCCCTCATATTGTTGATTCTTGGGAATTGTAGTATTGCATATACCTCTGCCTGGAAAACAGATGCATGTGACCCTAGAAAGAAGAAGGTCTCGCATCTTCCTTCTTGACTGTAGATTCCTACCATTCCTCTCTTTCACTAATTATACTTGGAAGGATATATCGGGTGAGTATTTGGAGAGTGCATAGTCAGTTATCATATCGAATACTATCAGATTTATGACTTCCCTTATTTGTGTGGCCTGGATCTGACTGTTAGTTTGCTCAGGTTGTTTCGTAGTCTGTGGAGGCCCATCAGTTCTAGTAGGACTGCTGTTGGTGTGCTTTTCATGCACCCTATAATGCCCAGACAGGCAAGACTTTGCACCTTGCCAAGTTTCATTCTGGCCCTGTCTTGTTGAGTCTTTGTCCACCATATCAAAGACGCATAGGTTATCGCTGGCTTTACAATCGTTGTGTACAGCCATTGCATCATGTCCGGCCGCAGCCGCTATGTTTTTCCGAAAGTTCTTCTGTTTAGTATAAGTGCTATTTCTGACCTTTTACTTACTTTGTCGAGATGTTTGTTCCAAGTTAATTTTGAGTCTATAATTACCCCAAGATGTTCAACTTCGTCCGACATCGTAACTGGGTTTCCTTGAAGATAAAGAGGTCCAAGTTCCTACAATCTCTGTCCACCTAGAGGCTATTGTTAGAGCCTGCTGCATGCGATCTCTAACTGTATGGTTGAATTTTCCCTGGGATATTATAACCAAGTCATCTGCATATCCCACTACTTGATGGTTGTTGCTCTTCAGAAGCTCTTTCAGCTCGTCCATCACCAGATTCCACAGCAGGGGTGATAACACTCCGCCTTGGAGACATCCCTTTCCAACCCGAGCCGTCACTGTTTTACCTAGGAGCATGGATGACCCAAGTATGCAGTCTATCCATCTGCAGCATGTGTTGCTAAACGCTCCCTCTATATGAAGGAATACTCCCAACATAACTTATTTTCCAACGTACTCTCTACCCGCTGGACAAGGTGATATCGTGCTGTTTCAGTTGAGGTTCCCGCTTTGTAAGCATATTAGTTCGGATGTATTGGTCTGGTAGGTAGCCAGTGCACCACCACGAATGTGGAGCTCAAGCAGTTTTACTAGAGCCTTTAACAAAAATGACATGAGGCTTATGGGTCCCAGAGCTCTCGCATTTCTCTGACCTATTTTGCCAGATTTGTGAATGAAAACAACTCTGATTTCTTTCCAGGTTTTGGGTATATGATTTAATCCTAAGCTTTCTCTAAATATAATCAGGAGCCTAGAGTATAGCTTGCTATTGCCTCTTCGTAGTAATACTGGATAAATCCCATCTATGCCATGCCATGTTACTACTTTTTTGGCCATATCTGGTTGTAGCTAGGTCTGCATAGTGACGGTTTTCGGAGTTTTCTTCAAGGATCACACTACCCGGGAAGTTTACTCT